AGCAGCAGGGAAAGGAGCCAGAGGTGCAGAGGAAGCGCCAAGGAGAGGAGCTCAGCTGCGAGCCCGCTGGCCCTTGCTCCCCTGCACGCAAGAGCCACAGTGCCCCCACAACCAGAGTGAAGCCCCCAATCATCACCCACCCTGCCAGGCTGGGAGAGGGGGGACGGGGACCTGGGCACACGGGGATCCCCCTGCCCAGGGGCTTTTGGCCTCCACGTGGATCAAGGGCACAGGCAGGTTGTCCCTGCCACCCCCCCAGCAGGCAACGCTGGCAGGAAAAGCGCTGCTCACCCCCCCCGCTTGCCGAGGCTCCCAGCTGGGCACCCGCAACAAGGAAAACATCAGCCCACAGCCAGGAACGGGGCAGGGGGGCTCCCCTTATGGCAACTGGGGCAACTGGGGCCAGCTGGGCCAGCCAGAACTTAGTGCGGCTAATGGCCCACCTGGGGTCAAAGCCCAGTCCAGCCCCTCTCCCCTCTCCTCACAGGGAGGCCCTGCCTGCGGGGGGGTGGTAGCTCTGCCCCCCCTCACCCTGGTGGGTGCGCAGGGGAACAGGATAAAGCAGCACCCCCCTAAAACCCTCCCACCTGCGGCGGCTTTTAGTAACAACGTGGTAGTGCTTAGTTTGTCCCCCATCAGAGTCCCTCCATCTTCTGGATGCCCAAAAAGCTCTGCTCCAGCACTGCCGTGAAACTGGTCCCTGGGGCTCAGGCCGGTCCTAGACAGGGGCTGCCCACCTCAGGGGGCTTCGCTTCCCTGCCGTCCCCTCCCTGCCCTTCGCAGGCAAGCGGTTCCAGCGTGCCCAGTCCTTTGGGATCTTCGGTGTGGTTCTCCCGGTCTGGAGACCCAACGGTGTCCCCCACGCGTGGGGAGACCGGCTCCTACCTGCAGGAGAGAGAGGCTGGTCTGCCCCGAGAGGCTGAGCTTCTCCTGCTCGGAGGGGTAGGCGTTGAAGCGGTGCTCGTACAGCCAGTCCCGCAGGATCTTCACCGACTCCTTGGGGAGATTGCCCCTTCTCTTCCTCTTGTTGGACTGCGAGGGGTCCGGGGACGTGGCGCTGTCGTCCTCCCCGAGGTCGCTATCCGACATGGTGGAGCTGCCGGCGGACCTCTCCTGGTTAAAGCCTGGCGAGGTGGAAAGGCAAAGAGCGGGCATCAGGCGGCGGTGGCCCGGCCGGGGGAGCGCGGGGGGGTGGCACCCACGGACGCCCCCA